ATGGGAATAGAATGAAGTGGGGGATATTTTGGGTACCCATACAACCCAAGGGATGAAAATGGCCGTGCCAGGTTTTTCATTGCCAAAATTTAGCTTAATTTTGAAGCGTTAGTTAGTTAGTAAGGTAATCTAGTTTCATATGATATCAGTATCTTCACTCTTTATTTAAAACTGAGCCCACTACAGCCTCTGAAAGACAGTGTGAAGTGTTAGAGGTAAGCATAATGGGGTGACACTTGGGGCCAAACACCCCTGCAGGGTTGCACCTGTTTTGTGTAAGTTCTCTACTAAGGTGTAAAGTCGACACTAGAGGCTGAGTAACAACCAGTTTGTTTACTTCGGGCATAACTTTAGTTAGTAAACTAGTTAGTTTGGAGGTAGAGTCATAACTAAGGCAAGTGGCCAATCAGCAATCAATGATAGAGTTCCATTGCCATGGTTACCGTGCACATTAGCTTTCAGGCTGGCATGAGTCACTTGGCATCGTAGCAAAACATAGCAGATGAATATTGAAATAGCATATCAATAAATTAGGTCTGTACTCGATAAACGTGTCACAAAATGGCAGCAGTCAATGAAAAAATGATGCTGTGTAGCAGAAAACTGCTGTTCTACCATCAGTGAGTATAATGTGACATTTTCTGATTTACTCGACCTTAGGGGCGTGGGTAACTATTTAGTTTGTTACTTAGAGGTAAGTTGTAATTTTTCTCTCTTCTCCTTTTAGTAATGCATAAATCACAACTTAGCAATAATTTACATTTCAGCTACAGCTGGTGCAACAGGGTAAGGGCAACCCCCCCCCCCAACACACTGCATGTCGGTTTGTGCTAAGGTAAGCTAACCCTCTGCTGTAGCTTTATAATTAACGCACAAATCATCTGACTCTCATCCCAAGCAGATTTCCTAAAATATCAAACTATTTCTTTTATGTATATGTTATGCATTTCATTTGAAGACATGTGCCTAATAACTAAATATTCAAGGTGTGTGGCTATAAGGCCTGTTTCACTGTTTTGTTTTTTTTAATGTTAAATTTTACACAAATGTGCCTCTAATGGCTTATAAATCTATACACTGTAAAACATATTTTGTCCTTAGACCCTTTTTAGAGAAAGAAAAACACCCAGAAAATCCCTTTAAGAGGAAAACAGGAAGAAACCTCAGGAAGAGCAACAAAGGAGGGATCTCCCTGTCAGAAAGATATGAAATTGTACAATAGTCGTACAACAAAGTAAACAGAAACAACTATAGTGGAATTGTTTTTATTCGGCCCTCTTTTACACTACAAAGACCTGGAAAGAGAACAAACTACACTTACACACAAGAGGCCGTTTTACCTGGCCAAACTTTGAGACTCGAGTGTTCAATGTGGCTCAGTGTGGTTTAAGGTGTCAAGCCAAGTCTTAAGTTAGTTAGGGCCAAGTTTCCTTTCATTTTTGTGTCTTAAGCAGATTTCTGTCTCAAATATACAGCAGGGCTATCGGTGTCTCAGATGAAAGCATTTCACATGTAAATGTTTTTGAAAGATTCAAAGATTGATGTGGAAATTATTTCTTCACATGTGGGAGCCCAACAGATAAAAGCAGGTCCTCTTATAAACAGAATGAACAATACATTTTAAATACATTTATTTATTTAAAAATGATATACCTAATAATTTCCTCTTGCCAGTCATATAAAGTGTACCATGAATAAATGTTCTTTAACTTATGCACAGACTTAACCAGTAAATGACAATATCACTGAAAACAGGGTTAACAATCACATATATTCACTCTAAATATTTTGACACCACTACCTAGATTTACCCTGTGGTCCTGCCGCTCAGTTACCCTTCATGGAAAACATCTGTCCTGACCCAAGAGTCGGGGTCAAGTCATGCAGTCGGGCACGTTTATCCATCATCAGCAATTACCCTTAAAAGAAGGCATGGCAACGTTGCTGTGAACCACAGGATATATATGGTAAAACACTCAAAGCTGCTTTTTGGCCATCATTTAGCTTAGTTATTGAATGATTAAAGAGATGCAGTGAGATTCGCATCGAGTATGCGTCTCAGTGAGTCAATTCATAGTCCCTCAGGTCTTTAAACACATCATAATCTCAGTGATGATCCTTCGGTTCCACAGTCTCTGGATCACTGCACACCACTGAACGCCAGGCTAAATAAAATCTAAACCAAGCTCATAACGCTGTTATGTTCTTCTTGTTAGATCTACAACCCTTAGTTCAAAAACAGCCAAAACCCCTGAGCAGCTATCAAAGTGGAAAAGTGAAGAAATGCAGAACTATAGTGAACTAGGAACTTTTTGTACACCTATTAGCTGACTGTCTGTTTGTTTGTTTGCACATTTCTAGCTCTGCATGTGGATACACTGAGAGCCTGCAACAACTGCAGTCAAAAGTCTTTCTGCGAGAATTCTTTGCCAATAAAGAAACTGGATTCTGGTAATATTAGATGAATGAGTCCCTTCTAGCTACAGCTTGTCTGATGACAATCTCATGATCAATAACCTTTCCCCCAGTTTCTTATATGTCACTGTCACTTTTGAATGCTATGTGACAACTTGATTTCACCTCTGATAAGTTCCTGCTGGGTGGGGTTCCTTTTCTGCTGACGCCCCCCTGTTGAGGATCATATGATGTTCTTGTGTTGCTTTGTAATGTTTTGCATATGGCTCCAGGGCGAGGGTCCAAACTCTGAGTAGAATGGTGTTTTTGTTCAACATGGATCATCCCCAAAGAGAGCGAGCGCACACTGCTCCCTCAAACAAGGTTGTCAAGATGTCCGCGGAGGCCCAGCGCCAGCACACCCCACCAGGCAGCTGCTGCCTGCCAGGCGCCCATCTACAAATAATCTACTGTGGGAGGAGGTGTCAGTCTGTTCTGTCAGGGTATACAGTGTATATCCAATGCTGAGTGAATGCTTCAAAACTACTACACAAAGAACTGGGTAATAATGATCATTTGAAAAGTGCTGAGAATATATAATGTTTGAATTTAAGCAAATTTAGCCAATTCTGAAACAACTATGCTGTGACTTCCATGCGTGGATGGATTACAAAACAGCTGGGCACAGGCAGAGGGGCCCCCTTCACCCCCTGCAGTCACAGAGCCTCTGTTTGAAGTAACATTTCTTTTCGGAAAGTCATTCAAATTGTTACAAGGAGACTCAAAACTGCCACAAACTAACACAAAACAACCACAAAGAAACATATAATGACCAAAAAAGATGCAAAACGCCTACAAAGGGACACAAAATGACTACAAAAAGAGATGAAAACTACCACAAAGACATGCAAAATTAGTACTTCTGTGGAGATTATTTACAGGTATACCATTATAAAAGGTGTTGTACTGGGTAGTATCTACATACTATCAGAAATGCGGTGACAGTTTTTCTGTTGTGCAGCACTATGAAGGTGAATTTACACTCAATTTAGGCAAAAATATTTAGTTTTTCGTGTTTTGTAATTGATATTTCGCAATTGTTAGATATTTGGCAACCTCCCTCGGTGCCTGATCAGTGGCATGCTGCTTTGATATTACTGTAGGACACAAGGCATCATGTTTTATTATTTCACAGTGAACAACACATCTGCTTGTATTACAGAACAGCCAATCACATTTTGACAGCCCCGTGATCAGGTGGCATGTCAAACTCCATTAAGCGTGACTGTGATAGCTACAGGGTCCGTGCCATAAATTCCTAAGTGTTCTGTTCACACTTTTTGCTTTGATATTTTTAGTTCATCTCAATTTCCTGCAACAATGGTTTGACCACCTCTCATAGAAAATCTCTATGTAAAATGCTGCAAAACCCCCAGTGGTATGGCTTTACCCTCATTGCAAATTGCTTACAGACAGTCGAGTTAACCGCAATCAGTTTGTATAAACAATATGAGAATATAGCTCATGCTACCAAGCCAATACAGTGTCTCACAGGCCTTGGCTGCCGACACAAGTTATGTAAACGCTAAGGCGACAAGGCAGATCCTGAGAGGTGCCCGGTAGGGACCAGGGCCATCATGCCAACTCTGAACCTCTGAAGCCAGACACTCCAGAGAAGCCCTAAAAAGTTGTTCCTTTTACTTGAAAGGAAAAGAGGAAGGACATAAAACTCTCTTTGAGGAAAATTTGTTATGAAATAAAAACTTTAGTTAATTTACAACCCAACCTTGCTGTTCAGGCCCAATTTCTCAGCTCCAGTATTATGGTAAGCCTGAAGTCAGCGCTGTCTCTGCCCGGTCATCGTGGCAACTCCACCGCCAAGACATGAAGTCATAATGCATCAGCATTCATCTTCCTACAAGCTGCCAAGTAAATCTTGAAAACACTACTAGGTTGAGTAAAGACACTGACTTTAGATGAACATAAAGCAACAAGCCCTTAAACCTTCAGTAGTTGGAAGAAAAACATCTCTGTATTAACGGTCAGTTTCATTCATTCCCTCCAGATGGGTCCTGGAAGTGGTTTTCAGAGAGTTTGTGCCAAAACAACTATAAATGTTAAACCCCGTTGTCAGAATTCTTTCCTCTTTTCGCTTGATTCTAGGAACATCTGAGCTTCTTCATGTGAATGTACATGCAGTCAAACAACAGCCTGCAATTTGAAAGTGAAAGAGGAGATCAAAGTGGGTGAGGGCAGCAAACAGGTGGGGAGGGAAAAACCCACCGCAAACCTGTTTTATAAAGACTTCAGCAAAAGACTACAGGAATTGGGGATTGTGGGGAAATGAGTGGTGATAAATATTATATATGGTAAATAAATGGTAGACAATCTTTAAAAAAAAAAAAAAAAACAGGATCTCTGTTGCAGACATAAATCTCTAGAGAGTTATTTAGCCTATATTACATGGAGATGAGTGTCCTCTAAGAGTCAATAGGAATATAATGCTGATTTATTGCTCGTAGTGACTCTTAGGGTCCTCTCTTTGGTAGCTACAGCGTTAATAGTCCTGGGAAGCCCCACCTCCACTACCACCTTTTATGTTAATTTCAGCGTGATCTGTGCGCGGACTGAGGGGAGCCGCTGAGTGCTGGATCTGTTGGCTGCTGATTGCTTTAATGTCGATGAGGCTTTGGATAGACACAACCTGCCGCTGAATCAACTGTCGGGACTTTTATTTTGTGAACGGAGTCGTGTCCGTCTAATGTCGCCGCTGAGGACGCGCAGCCGAATGTGAAACGTTTGTGGATCCAGCAGTTAGAGAAGAGGTGAACGCACCTTGCATCCAGCCATGGGAGGTCAGATCACCAGAAATACCCTCTACGGTAAGGGACAGCTGGCATCCTGTGTTGATTCTTTATTATAGGCTTTGTTATAATAGAAGATGATATAATCGAGTTGTAATCGTGCTTGTGCAGCCTCAAGCCTTTGTGCATGAACATTGTAGGCGTCCTGGCAGCCTAAAATAAATGAGAAGAGAAAGTAGCCAAGTTTTACCACCTTCTGTAAGTCACGACTTTAATATAAAGGAAATAAATTTGATAACCCTCCACAGCATCATACTCTAAAACATCACAAGTTGCACTTTTATTCATTTATTTTGCATTGAAGCCTGCTTAAGTTACAGTTATACTTAAAAGAAATAGAACCGGACAAACTGAACGAAGTTGGTACATAACTTTTTCCACCTGGCTTGTTGTTTGTCTTGACGCCCACAGTTGAAAGTGATACAGACCTAATGGATGTCAACATGTTGGCAATGGTGTTTATGCTTCTGTGTGGCAATCAATTGATCATGTATGTTAGGCTATAGATGTCTCAAGGGATGATAACAGGTGCATTGGACGTTTTTATTGATCCGTTTTCACATTAAAGTTTCTTGCAGGAGCTTTAATGCCAATTAGTTAACATAAGATACAATTTAGTGTTTGATGTCCTGAATTATTAATTGGTTATTAGCAAATATAATCTTAATGTCTAATTGTTTTCATATGCTTTCTGATAGTGATACATAATTAATTATTTACTGTATTATAATATTTATTGCAGTTTAAATGTCCTGAACACAATACGTTTGAAAGCAAGGCGTGAATCTAAAGTGTGTTTCACTCATTAATGCTCTTTTATTCAGACTTCTGCATATTAATTGTTTACTTCATATTCTGATCAAATCTGATGTATCAAATATTAGTCTAGGAGAGAAGTTGATCAGAAAATAACCCAGCAACTATGATGATAGTTAATACATAAATAATTTAAAGTAAAATGATAAATGTTTTTGTATGTATGAAATGTTTTATATGACTGTAAATTCAATGTCTTTGGACTAAATCAGCAATATAAAGAAGTTACCTTGAGCTTTCGGAAATTGTGATGGACAGCTTGTCAGACATTTGATAGACCAAACAATTATCAATTAATTAAAGAAAATGAAATGATTAAAATACTCTATAATGAAAATAATAATTAGTTTCAGCCCTTATTGATAACAATTGCAGTAATTAAGTTTGTAGGGCTCATTTCTCATGAAGTTGGTCTTCAGTTCAGATGTCTTTAGATGTTTTATGAGTTGATTTCATGTTCATGTTGTTTGGCTATAAAGCGGACATATGTAATGTATCATACTTTTTTTGTTTTGAGCCGATGATTTTAATTGACACACAGTACACAACCAGGCAACAGTAAACATCTCATTTCCCAGTTGGACAGATGGACACAGGCCAATCCATACAGTCCTTTTTCCAATTTCACTGTTTGGGGCCACTATAACAACATAACAATATAGGTGCAGGCAGGGTCGCTGCTAGAAATTCTTGGCCCTCTGACAAGAGCTCAGCCAGGGCCCTCAAAATGTAATCTATGTTATGTTGCAAGGCCCCTGACCAGCTCACAAGCTCATGATTTATTCAGCTCTTCCAGTTTGGCAGCTCTGCATCATTGTGTTACTGAAGAACCAGTTTTTAAAGAAAGGAAATTAATTCTATGTGTTGACTTGAGTTTTTTTTTTTTTTCTTAAGTTTTAAATGATTATCGAAGCATTGAGATTTCAAGTAACAGGGATCACTAGCTCTTGTTTTCTTGTTCAACAGAAACTGTGCTTCAGTTTTGGCTTGTGGTGTCCCGTCATTTAGAAAATAGCTCCAGAACCAGCAGCACTGATGAGTCATTACTTAGCATTACTACAGCTGCAAGTTGATTAGTTTATTCATTTAGCTGATCGTCAGGAAACTAATCAGCAACTGTTTTGATAATGATAATTAATTCTTTTGAGTCTTTTTTAAAAGAAAGAAATGCCAAAATTGTCTGGTTCCAGTTCCTCAAAAGTGAATTGGTTTCCTTAGTCCTTGAATATCTTTGGGTTTTAGACTGTTGGTTGGACAAAACAAGACATTGGAAGCTTCAGGAGATTGTAACAGGCATTTTTACACTATTTTCTAGACCTGAGGATCAATCCATTAATTGAGAAACTAATCAACGGATTAATCACTAATGAAAATGATGGTTAGGTGCAAATAAACAGAACTGTAAAAGTAACAGGAATGATACACAGTGATACTGAGATGTTTAAGAATCACTTGTTGTTTAGTTCTTATTGAAACCACTCAAGCTACGAGACATTTGAAATCACTAAAGACATACATGTGCCCTTTAGCTCTCCAGCATGCTTCCTGTGAGTGCCTGTCTTGTGAGAGGGGGCCACCGAGCCTCGATACTGACGTCACACCATAGTGAGACCGAGCCTGGGGATAAAACACAGGGGAGCGTAAGAGGCCAGGTGACACTGGCCAGGGCCACTCATTGTCTCTGCACTGTTTGTCCTTTCCGATTAATGACAGCAGAGGCAGTCACATTGTGTGCGGTGGTGCATTAAGTAACATTATCCTCCCTTAAGTTGCTCATCTGACATTCGTCATGGCACCTCTCTTTTATCATGGCAGGGCTCTGGTCACTGTTTACCTTGATGTCTCCGTCAGGTTGCATGACTTTTTAAACACACTTCAGCAGCCACTGTATCATCAGCACTGTTGGCTCTAACCAACTGCCATTTACAGTAAATCAAATGTGGTATTTTTATGTATCCATTTATTTACTGTATTCATGGTTTATACAGTCCTCTGTGTGCTCCGGATGCTGTAAACCCACTCCAGAATGAGAAAATAAAGCTGCTCCAGAGATGATATTAGAATAGTGAGAATAAAAGACGATATTGGATTAGAGGATTAAGCGTGAGTGCTGCTACGCTATTTGCAGATAGCCTGTGAGGTGTTGCTTCTGTTTTCAGACCTTACAGGAAATACTCTATTCAGTCTTGGGCCTGGTCATTGATGGAGTACAATACAGTCCTGTTTTGTTTTCCTGAAGACATCACGTCTAACATGACATCATGGATGCAATATGGTTGAAGGATTTGTTATGACTTCATTTAAGACCACTGTTGTGCACAGAGCACAATTCGACATTGTTCTGCAGGGACAAGAGCATGCGAAGAGCTTAACAAATACACTGTACTGAGCCCAGAACACTTGGCAGAGCCTCTCTGATTGTGATATGAAAGGAAACACTCTTTCTAGTTTAACCTCAACATATTATACATTTTTAACATCCATGGAGGGAAATCATCCACCGCTCAAGCCCAGTGGTGTTATAACAGACCTAGTTTCAAAAGTCACATGACTAGTGATCGTCAAGCCTGACTGTCTTAATTGATTGGTCTCCAGGGTACACAATAAACCTCTTGACCCTCCAAGGTCACTCAAAGGAAACAAGAATATCTCTCTTTCAGCAATGGTAATGGTATTTCTCTCACAGACAAATAGAAGCAGCTCCTACACAGTCTTCCAAATTTAGGTGTGAAAATACGTGCAGTTCTCAAGGACGAAGAAGTGTTAATTAGGCCTAAATTATTTATTTGGCTTCCAGTCTTGGCACATTGACTGGATTTTATGGCACTTTAAGACTGTTAAATGTCATTGTAGAGAAGACTCAAGAACTGTAGTGCAGGAAACTGTAACAAATCTCTTGATGAGATGATATTTGTACATGTTACCAATTCTTAATAATCCTGCCTTACATTTAACGAGAACCCAGTTTCTGTGAGAAAATGCATTCTCCACAACACCACAGTGACCTTGGCATTGTGCTTTGAAGAGAAATGTCGAAACAGAAATGGGGAGAGCTGGTACTAATGAAAGGGAGTGAGTGCAATATCAGGCTCATGATGACTGTGAGCATAAAACCCAACAGAGAGATGTGATGTGAAAAAAATATGTTTTGCTCTATTATGAGTTACTGTAAGTGGGAGCAGTCATGATTCACACATGTTCACATGGGAAAAAAGTCCAAAACTCTGCTGCATATTGTGAGTCAGATGTTCTCCTTTGGGTCTGCTCTTATTTTGCCACTTCCTCTGACCAGCTAAGCACAATAAATGTCACTTAATCTCATTTAGTGGCAGCTATTTTGTATGTATCCTTTTACATTTTTTTCATTTAAGGCAGGTAGTGACTCTCAGGCATAAATATTGTGATTCATGTTAAAACATGAAGCACAGTTGGAAAGAAGATGGATGGACGTAACAGCCATGCCTCGCTATTATGAGAGTAGCTTTGAATATGCTGTATCAGTCAGCTGAAAATAAAGCTACACATCAAGAACTTGCATTCTGTTGCGCTAATTTAGCTGTTAGGGATGCTATATGACGTTAGAGCACATTACATGTGAGGTAATCATTTGTGTTTTCTTTAACCTTCATCTCCTCTCTACTGATTATTGTACAGTGTGTTCCAGCACGGTCAGAAACAAATTGGTTTAAAATCTGGCAAGATGTAGAATAGCAAAAAGTGAAATTACTCTTTACTGAAATTGGAGCATGCACTTCTCACAGCTGCATTGTTCTGCTTAATTACATAACCAAGGGAGCAATTCTGTCCTTGCACAGAATTTCTTTTCCATCCAAGGACATTTTTGCATGTAATTTACCTTGCGCATTGTTCTCTAATGTCTGCAGCAGTTGTGTGTTTGCAATGTGCTACCTTGAAGCATAATCCAAGTATTAGATTCTATTAATGTATTTTTGCTTGATTGGATGTTACAGGAGCTTGTAACATATGTATGAGGAAGTTATATGTGACAGCAGATCGCAACCTGGAGTTCACCTTATGATGTCATTATATAATTTAAAGGGAAGCCTGCTGTGGTACGGACTATCTAATCTAATCTTCTAATTTAACCTAAAGTGTGGGTATTTTACTGTAAATTATAGGAATGTAATATATATTGCAAGAAGGTTAAATCGCAATATACGTGAGGGATTCAAATTGTGGTATGCATTGTTTTCCACTGTTTATACCCTACGTCAGAAATAATAATATATTTTTTTAATTTGATAAATAAAATAAGAGAAAAACCCAGTGTTTTTGTATCAAATTGTGTTTTGTTACACCCCTTGGTAAATCGTCCCCAAAGAAGAATTTATTCAGTAATGTATTTTCTGCTTCCCACCTGTGGACCAAACTAAGCAAGCACTTTTCTTTCTCCACGTAGATTCTCTGAACGGGCCGTTTCCTGCCACATCCCACAGATGCCACCACAAGCCCAAGCGTTGCCTGCCCATCCAACCATGTGGGAGTTTGTCCTCTTTCCCGCTGCTCTTCCACCCCAGCACCAAGGGCTCGCAGATCGTCATGGACATCTCCCAGAGGACCGTCAAGAGACAGGCCAGCTTCTGTAATGCCATCACATTCAGCAACAGGCCTATAGCTGTGTTCGAGCAAGTTCGGCTAAAGGTAAAAAAAAAAAAAATACACTAGCTGTATACTACTTATTCTCATTCTGATAATGTTTTGTGAGATTGATTTTAAATGTTGGGAAATTACAATAAGAGGTCAAATGAAAAATCCCAGTGTGCTGCATGCTAAATATCACTGGGTTGAAAATTGACCCAGTTTGGATACACTCTCCCAGTATGTTTTTATTTTCCTTCTCCCTCCCTGTCTGTCTGTCTCTCTCTCTTCATCCCCCTTCTTTGCTCCCTTGTTTTGATTTTCTCTCTCTGCTCTTGTGTGGGCCAAAGCAGCAGCAGCTTAGAACAAGTTTCCACTTCACCTATCAGGCCATCTATGTCTCGAAAGTGAGAGAGCAGGGCAAGCATTGCCATGTGAGGAATACTGTTATCTGGCACGGTAAATGCAAAGTAAATAGAGGTTTGAAATAAGACAAAAATCGTTTGCAGGTGATAAACATACCAAGGTAACTGGTCGTAGTTTGCTTAAAAGAGAGTTTTAGCCACACTGATGGCACTATGGATGGCCATGTTGGTGTGTGTTGGTCCAGACTAGAATTTCTCAGCTACTATTGGATGAATGTGAATGAAATTTCTTAACTGACATTGAAGTCCCCCCCCCCCAGGATGAAACTTAAAGCTCCACCATCAGGTCGAAATGTTGATCTACTTTGTTTTACGACCAAATATCTGCAAAACAAATGATATTCACACTTTGGGTTAATGTTAATTACAAAATGTTAGAATGCTAACATGCTAAAATAAGATAAAGAACATGGTAATTATTAATTGTATTACCATACACAAACTACAGATTAATTATATGCAGCATGTTAGCATTGTTATTCAGTCGTGTTAATGTACTACTATTAGCACTAGCATGGGATCTTTTTAGCTCATAATTCATACAACAAACAGAGAAGAAAATGTAAAGATTCATTTTAAAGTTGATCCTTCATTATAAACATGTATTCTCCAGATCACTAAAAAGCAGTGCTGCTGGAGCGGTGCTCTGCGGCTGGGTTTTACAACCAAAGACCCATCGAGGATCAACCCGGACACTTTGCCGAAGTACGCCTGCCCAGACCTGGTCTCCCAGAGCGGCTTCTGGGCAAAGGCCCTACCAGAGGAGCTCTCCAATGAGGGGAACATCATCTCCTTCTGGGTGGACAAGAAGGGCCGGGTGTTTTACCGCATCAATGACTCCAGCCCAATGCTATTCTTCAGCGGTGTACATGTTTCTGAACCTCTGTGGGCTCTCATAGACATCTATGGCCTCACAAGGGGGGTCCAGCTGCTAGGTGAGTCATGCATTCAGAACCAGGTCCTTTCTGTGAAATGATGTTCTAATTGGAAATTTTATTTATTTTTGGACTTCAAACTGCAAGCATAAGTGGCCCAAATCTGTTTTTTGTTTTTTTTCTCATATGTGACTCAGATCAGCACAAATCACCCAGAATAAAATTTTTTTCAATTCTAATTTGGGTCACTTTCATATGTGATCCAAATTAGATACAAGTCAGATTTTTTGTATTGTGACCTCAGTGTAAACGGTCATATCAGAATTCATGTGACCTTTACATCACTCTAGATCTACATTCATCATGCGGGGCTGTGACCTGTTAAAACTGGAATCTGATATGGGCCATATTAAAAAAAGCAATGTGAACAGCCAAACAAAAAACAAAAACATCTGAGCAATAAATCAGAATTGAGTGCTAATTCTTGAAGTGTGAATGCAGCCTTAGAGATTTTTAGCCATACGATGAATATCTCAACAACTGTCAGATGGATTTCCATGAAATGTGGTACAGACATTCATGGTCCCCAGAGGAAGAATCCTAATGACTTTGGTGATCCTCTGAATTTTAATTTTCCAATATTTTGCAATACAACACAAGACAATACCATTTTCAGCATGCTAAGCTAAGATGGTAAACATAGAAAACATTATACTGCTAAACATCAGCATATTTGCATTAACCTTTAGCTCAAAGCACTGCTGTGTCTTAAGTACAGGCTCACAGAGCTGCAAGGCTGTTACTTTTTACTATAATGCTTCACCGCTGGAAAAGATTCTGCATCTGATGTTTTTTCAATGTGAATGTTAAAAGGTGATGTTACACACAGCTGCTCTGCTTTTCCCACACCCACAAAATAGCTCAGTGGAAAAAGATGGTGGGAGATTAGTTAGATTGTATAGTTACCACGGTTGTTAGTATCAAAGAAATGTCCCTAAAGGGGGAATTTCAAAATGTCTGAAACCCTCTAACAAGTTCTCCGTGCTGTTTAAAGGGTCATTACATCAAAGAAATTAAGAGTAAACAGGTCCCCCCAATCATTAACAGCAGTTTTTCACCGCACTGAATCATCTCAAGAATGTTTGGATTGTAGATTCAAATGCATTTATGAAACACATCATGTACTGAAAACAGCTGTTTCCAATTTTTTAAACAATACAAAACTATGCAAAATAGATAAATAGGAATCATTGTAGACGCCTCAGTACGTATTTATAACCATTTCCAAGAATCGCACAGCCTCTCTCCAAAGAATAGAGGCTGTCAGCACCGTTAATAAAAATAGAAGAGGCTCCCATATTGTGTAGATAGTGCCATTTAACCTCATTTCTTGCGGTGTGGTTGACAGCGAGAAGCATGCTATCTCGTGATGGGCTGTTTGGTATCCAGCGGCAGAGTGCGACTATCTGGGGTTCACTGGCCTCTCGGTGCTGACCAGCACACAGCTCTTGTCGAAGAACAAGAGGAGTGTGTTGGTCATCCCAAGAGGACAGACAAGAGGAGGGATGATGTCAGGTAATGACATGTGTCGGGTGTTTTTTCCAAGACAATCAAACCAGTGGAATGTCTCACTCTTTGGATCCAAGTCTGAATTGAACTTCAAGTGACATGTTATCACCATGCAATCGCCCCTAATACAGATTCATATGTTTAAATGAGAGGACTCTTCACCAAACGTTACGGGTTAATAGCGTTTTACAATGAAAGTAAATTAATTGTAATTTCTGCATGTGAATGAGGCCAGCAGCCCCTAAATCCCACTGTTTCTACTTTGGTTTTCCCACATCGATCACCTTCATCCCCACATTGAAGGCTTAAACCAAAAAGCCTCAGCCCTCAGTCAGCTGAAGGATCACTTGGCTATCAGCTTTCCGCTATAGCCCGAGAGCGTCACTACTCGAGAGCATGGTATATCTCAAAAGCCCAGTATTGTCTCGGCAGTTGGCTGCAGTTCAACAAACACTTAGTCTCTGAAATATGGGCGGACACATCAAAGTCTGGTGCTGTGAACTGGCACATGTGCATATTTTCCTTTAACAGAAGGGTGCATTTTGATTCTTAATGATGCTTACGCTAGGGTCTGAAATTAATGCTGCACCAGCTGATAAATTAAGCCACATTTCACCTGTTGTGGGCTTGTTATCACACAAGCTGTCCAGGTGGGAATTACAGATCTGCTGCAGTTGTTATTTTTTTTCCACAGGAGACAAATGGAGCGTGGAGCTGTGAATAAGCTCTGTGGAGTGTAGAAAATGGCTTTGGTTAGGTGACCTTGATTTGGCTTTTGAGATAAATGCTCAAGACAGTAAGAATATAATAGAAAATAAGTTGTGATAAACCTGTTGTCTAAGTCAGTGATATAATCTGTTTTAAGAGCTTCATGTGTATTAAAGGGCCACGTGACCAATGTTACATATAAAGATCTACTTGTCACTAAGAGAACTGCAGTACTGTGAGACAGTTGTATAAAGTCTTAAGTGGCTTCGAAAAGGAGCTTATTAAAACAGTACTCCACTGCATGGAAATCACAAAAAAATATCAAAATTGATGCAGAACTAGAGATATCATCTTATTTATACCATGCATTCTGCATCAAAGGCTGCATTACAAACTGTGTGGGGTTTGAAACAGACTGTACAGGGAAAAGTCGTGTTTGTGACTCCGCTGGCTCCCGGCTAATCGCGCAGTGTCTGTGGAGCTGAGGCGGGTTGAATGAAGCCTGATTACTGAACCTGTGACACCACCCACCCATCACTCAAAGCAGCCATGCCTTTGATTATGCATAACTTTAAGCCTTAATATAATTTATACAGGTGAGTTATATAAAAATTCCGCCCTGTACAGTTATCATGAAAGGGGAAATTTAGCTATAGAGACTAAAATAGTTTTTTGTACCAGGCTGTAAAGTTTGGTTTTTAATATGGAGTCTTTTGGAGATTGACTCACTTCTGTAGACAGTCTCAAGTGGACGATCGGGGAACTGCAGTTTTTGTTACTTCTGTGTTGCTTTTATTTGCCAGCCACTGAGGTTGCTGCTTGGTTAGAACGATATGGACATTTAGCAGGAAGGAAAGGTTTAATGAGAGATGTATTGAATTGAATTATGGTAATTGTAGGAGGCGCTGTTTCTGGAGTTTGGCCCAAAAGTTAGATTTCATGACAACTTCAATTTATTTTTTTCTCTGTCTCTTATGATCCCCAAACTTTATGACAGTACAGTAGTGCAACATCACTGTGTTCCCCTTTGAGTTTATATTGAGAAAATAAATATGTATGAACCATTGTCTCTCTTAGCTGAACCGTTCTGTGACCTCATTCCTGACACAGCCGTCAGCTCAGACCAATCAACCTTCACTCTCTCTTATTTTAAGACCCATGTAGTGAGCACATCCTTTCAGTGAATAGCTTCCTCGCCTTTAATATTTAATGGATTAATTATGAATGTGTCCCTGTTCACATGTCAGCACACATAACCCTAACTGTCACAAATCTTTTTGTGAAACACCACCTGAGAATAAACATCTCCTGAAGACAGTGTTACCGACACAATGCGTCATAGCTATTCTGATGAAATCTTTTGGTAATTTTTCCTGAACCAATGGTGTCTGTGATCCTTCCAGTAGGTGACTATTTCAATAAAACGAAACCTCTAAATTTCATTCTGAATCGACAATAAAGCTGCATTATTGTCCAAGCCATTTTGTCCAAGCCAAGTTGATTTTTTTGTCATTCAGTAGCAGTAACCTACTGTGAAAGTGAACCAGGTTTTTTTTTTAGCCTGTGGATAATCCACATCAAACACATGCTACGCAGGGTTCTCATACTGTTGTTTCCGTTTGATCCTTTACAACCTTACATGCTGTTTTAAGGAATTCATCAAAGCCGCTATCCATCACTGCCTTTTCACCTGTCTCTCTGCTGCCAAACAGTCGTGCTGCTATCTGGTTTGATTCTGATGTTTAAGGATCTTTTCAAGAGCGGTGTTGTTTCCTCTCTAAGCTGTTATCAAGGGAGTGCAGTTCAGCAGCTAGCCACCCATGCAAGGAGTCAAAGGTGATCCTGAGATCAGTGAGACAGCTTGAAAGCTGAGATGGTGTTGCGTAAGAGAGGAAGCTAAATTAATCTGCTGAAATCAAACTGAGCCTCAGGGGTTGTCCAGACCAACAATGCTGCCCATGCAATTTAAGAAAGATCTGTTACATCACCACACTTGTCCTACTCACGCAGCTATCAATAAAAACTAAAGTGCCTTGCTTGGGTTTTGTGTAGAACGGCCTGTGCTGTTGAGGATCTGCACCGCTACGCTGAGACACATTAGCTCTTAGAGGGACTTATAAAAGGTTTCCTCAAGTGTATAATATGTCTCTAGCAACTGTGTTGTCAGTTTGTCAGCTGTATTTTCACAGATGTGTCTGTTTACTATTTTTCTCCGAGCACTACCTTAAGAAAGCTCGGCTTTAGATACAACTTCATTTCCTAATAGATATTTTAAAAATGTGAAGTTCGAAAGGTTAGTTTTCTTTTCTTTTTTTAGAAGTTTACTTTGCAGCATTTCGAGTTTTGTCAAGTTTGTTTGAGAAGCTTCGGAAATCAGGTCACAAAAAACTTGCAAGTGTTTTTCAGTTTTATTTCCCCGAAGCGGAACACATATGGGAATGCTATACCTTTCTGCACGACAAAAAGTAACAGTGCTCCCTTTACACATGTATGGCTGCAGTCTTAACTGAATGTGTTTGTTTATGGGACAACTCCCGAGAGACCACACAGCATCCACCGTTTTGTACAGGTATGATGGATTCCTTCCAAGTTAGATAAGCGGAGCGACTCAAAGGCATCTTTTGATGGATGCAAGATGCTCTACTGGGGGTTTGTTTACTAGAGGTAGATGAGTCACTTAATCACTGACAGAATGGTAGTGATCCGTGAGACCGGCGTCAGCTAACATCATCTGCAACCTGTCTCTCTAGTCATTAGAGAAGAATTCAAAATGGCTGCCAGAC